ATATTTTATTGGTTTTTAACTATAACCATCTCCAGTGCCTGGTGTACAGTATGTTGTCTTGGTTTATATTTTAACAAGAAAAAAAAGGACAGTAATAATTAATTAACAGTCAATAATGATTAAATTTGATAATTCCATAATTAATATATTACTTAATAATACATTTCTTTGATCTTCCCTTCTCCCATTTGTATTTTCCTTCTTCAACCTTAGCCAAAATATAATTCTTAATATTTTCAATATATAAATGATTAGGTATAGGCATTTTTTATATTTATACAAATAATAATAATCTCTATATATAACATTTTTTTCAGCTTATATTATTCTCATAACCATCATCTCATTAGTTCAGCATACATCCTATTTTTATAATTTTTGTTCGCTTAGATTCCCTTATATTCAATCCAATCTTATCAGTCATAATTTCTTCATGTTAGTCATCTCACTGTCTAAATTTTCCCATTTAGGTACATCATCCCAATATTTTATGTCATGCATTATGAAAATACTATACTTTTTATCTGTCTTATAGTATCTAGATATAACATCCTTTTTAATCAGTTTATATTTTACTTATACAGTATATTAATAAAAGTTACATCAACCTACTATTTTAACATTTAATATATTATAAAACATACTATATTACTTAAATCTCATTATCCTTCTTGTTATAAGGCCCCTTTATGTTCAAACTTCTCCGTTCTTTTAGCCATATTGAAACAAATGTTTATTCAGGTAATAGTCCATCTGGTAGGGCGAGTCAAATCTCTTGTATCTGTCTCTGATCTTCTTCTTTTGCCAAGTAATTTTCCAAGTTGATGTAATCCGCTTACCCAACAGTTCCTGTATTTTTACAAATGTTGTTGGGAATACAAAAGATGAAGTAAGTAAGATAAATTATTTCTGTCCCCCAAACTTTAATAGTTCTCCTAATAATTCTATTTTTCTTGTTGTATCAGAACCTTGTAGATTTTTTCCTGTTTGTGTCAAATTGTAATTCTTTTCCTTTATTATTTCATCAATTTGATCATACTCTTCTAGTTTGTAATGTGCTGTCTGATTTGTTTGCTCTTTTGTTGTTATTTCCTGGGTATTTTTTAATTGTAGATTTAGATTGGAAATATGCTTATTTAAATCCTCAAAGTTGTTTCAAATTTTGTCATGGTTTGAATCTATTGTCATTTGTATTTGTCCTAACATTACATATCTTGAAGGATCTCGATCTTCACAAGTGTGTATTGAAGGTCTAGTGCCTAGGAAGACCCAGAGCAGGGGTAGGTAGGGAGGGAATAACCAGGGTGAATGTTGCAGTGCCATTGCAGTCGCTCATAAGCGCGAATGACTGCCATGGTTCTGCAATATTCATAATTTCAGGACTTGTTTGTAAGCACTAGGGGGCACTTATCGCATAACTTCAAATGAGCATTAATTGAACACTTGTAACTTGGGGATTACCTGTACAAAACTCCAAAAAATTAAAAAATAGAGAAAAACAAACAAAAACACAAAAGACAAGATTAAAATTTCAGATCTCCCTGTTAACAAACTATTATTGTGAACAATTCGTAGAAAATTTTCCACAGCATCTTATCTATCCCATATTATTCCAAAAATTAACAGTAATTCAATGGTGAAAAAAGCAAGGTTCTACATTTAGGCAAGAAAAACAAATTGCACAAGTACAGCATAGGTGGCACCTTGCTCAATAGTAGTAACTGTGAGAGGGACCTCGGAGTCCTAGTGGACAATCACCTAAAAATGAGCCAGCAGTGTGCTGCAGCTGCCAAAAAGGCCAACACAGTGCTAGGCTGCATTAACAGAGGGATAGAATCAAGATCACGTGAAGTGTTAATACCACTTTACAATGCCTTGGTAAGGCCACACTTGGAATACTGCATCCAGTTTTGGTCACCGCGATGTAAAAAAGATGTTGAGACTTTAGAAAGAGT